TACAGAGTACAGTAGATCTAGATCTATGTTATGTAGCTCATGGCAGCAATCACATAAACATATTAATTCATATCATATCATTAACCAGTGGCGGATCCAGGGGTGGGCCGAAACGGCCGCGGCCCCCCCTATTGGCGGCGCAAAAAAAAAATTGAGAAGGAAAAAAGAGCCGGAAGAAAAGAAGAAGAAAAAAAAAAGGGAAAAAAGGAGAAGATAAAAGAAAAGAGAAGAAAAGAGAGAGAGAGTTTAAAAAAAAAGAGGAAAGAAAAAGAAGAGAGGAGCCGGGGAGAAAGAAAGACAACGAAATGGCACTAAAAATTAGTGACAGTAACGACGAATAAGGGAAAGACAAGGGAAGGGGGGGGGGGTGTGCGTGAAGGCGGATGCATTGAGGGGGGGGGGTGACTGGCCGTATTCATATTTTTAGGTTATGCGAAACTGAGTCGGAATTATGCTTATTTTCAAAAAAATCTTAGCATGCTTGTTTATGTTAAGCCGTAGTGCATGAAAAAGCTAAGTGTAGAAACACTTCTGAAAAGGCCGCGCCCGGCCCCTCCAAAGAACGGCAGAATGGTCATCTATAAATTCTGGGGTCATTCCGATGGCTTGGGAGCCGTTATTGAAGTGGGGGCCGGCCCTACTCAAATGGTATTGACGGTAACGATGGATAAGGGAATAAGGAGGAAGGGATGCACATACATGCGCATACGCATACAACATGACAGAGCTTGAGGGGCCTGGCAGAGCCTTTTCAAGAGAGAAATTGTCTTTAGGAGAGAATAAGAGGTTATTTCTAAAATGAAATGAAAGGGCTCTGATCAAATAGCCTTTCATTTCATTTTTTCTCTCGAAATAAACTCTCTTTCTCTCTTATAGACAATTTTATGAGATGGAATCTTCAATCTGAAGCCTTTTTGTGCTCTTTGAAAATAGCACACTGAATGGGGGCAGTGCAATTTAAATTTCAAGGGATGGATTAGAGTTTTTATCGCTCTTAAAAGTCAAATAGCCCTCTCATTTCAGAAATAAGGCTCTCAATATAGACAATTTTATGAGATGGAATCTTCAATCTTGAAGCCTTTTTGTGCTCTTTGAAAATAGCACACTGAATGGGGGCAGTGCAATTTAAATTTCAAGGGATGAATTAGAGTTTTTATCGCTCTTGAAAGTCAAATAGCCCTTTCATTTCATTTAAGAAATAAACTCTAATCAACCCTTGATATTTAAATTGCGCTGCCCCTATTGTGTCCTCTTTTTAAAGAGCACAACAGAGCCCTCAGATTAGGCAGCAAGTAGCAAAACAAACCCGTAACACTGGACACAACATTCAATGGGATGATGCCCACATCATTGAGTTTGAAACGCACTTCTGGTCAAGAATGGTAGAAGAAGCATCTGCATAAAAAGGATGAATCCTTCACTGAATAGGGATTGTTGCTATACACTTTTACCTTTGTGTAAATAATAAAAGGTCCACGGGCGTGGTTGTTAGAAGCTTAAACAATATACATAAAACTCTCTCCAATTTTGCAGGGGGAGAGCCTTTGCCAGGAGTCTTTAATAATAAAAGGGATAAATCCTTCACTGAATAGGGATTCTTGCTATATGTTACCTTTCTTCGCTCCAGTGATCTCGAGGCAGCAGACAGCAAGAAATTGTGTAAAAAAAATTCTGTTGCCGGGAGTCTTGCATGGGGCGGAGCCCCAGGAAGTTCTTGAACTTCTTGAACTTTTTTTAGGAAATTCAAAATAGTCGTCATTAGCGATAGAAATTGTAATTTTCTTCTAGAGAGTCACATAGCCCCTTTCATTTCATTTTAGAAATAACCTCTCTTTCTCTCTTAAAGACAATTTCATGTAGAGCCAACTCAGTCGGAAATGTAATCTGTAGACCTAAGTGTAAAGTTAAGTTTCATGTTCTTCCTTATTTTTTTTCCTTTCTTTCTTTCTCTCTCTCCCTCTCTCTGTCTCTCTCCTTTTCCTCTACCTTTTTTTTTTTTTTATAACATTATTCTCTCTTTTCTTCTAATTTGTATGTGTGTGACATGCGTTACGCGTACGTCTATCAATGTCTAAATATGGTAGATTTACATTTTGATGTATCCCTTTGTAGGTGCACCATATATTCCAGAAAGTGCCCTATTTTGATGGTGCCCCCCCCCCCCCCCCCTATGTATTGATCTCGATAAAAATAACTTTCTCATTAATTCTATTTCCCATATTTCTAATACTTGCACTAATCTCAAATTTTAAAAAAATCATCTACTTTCTCTCAAGACAACATTATATAAAGGATTCATTAATGCAAGGCTATCTCGCGAGTCATCTCTCAATTTCTAACTTCTTGCTTTCCTCATCTCCCAGTCTCCCTTGCTTTAATATTCCTCGTTACTTCCTTCCAATTGAACTCCAAATTAATTGATTTTATACACTGTATCTATTCTTCAACTACAGGTAGATGCAAATGTTACTCCGACAAAATCCATTATATAAATCAAACTCAGGATACAGCCAATTGACGAGAATTGCTTCAAACTATATTTTACATGTATCATTAATATATAGTTTTACAATGGCTATGGTGATGAGTTGTCTAGGTAATATGTTGATGTTTTTTTTTTAATGTATTACCATGGTGCACCTTCTTGGTTAAAAAAAATATGTGTATGTATTAACGTAAGTTCGTGCCTTTACATACCACAGTAGATTCCAATGTATTATATTTGATGCAGAATAATATTAATATTTGAAGATTAGAAACACAAACAGTTTCCATAACCGTTCAAGTGTTTCAAGAAAAAGTTAAGCAAACTTTCTCCTGGATGTAAATTCACACTAGCGAGCTTTCCGATCCAGGCTAGACTCTACGCGAGCGGTTTCATTGGAATTAAGCGGTTTCATTGGAATTAATCGAGAAATTCCCCTCGCTAGCGTGTAAATAAAAAATACGCCGGCAGTGACGGTAACGATGGATAAGGAGGAAGGGGTGCATACGTGAACTGCAAGCGTATAGGAGATGATCATCATTTTAGGGTGTGCAATCTGGGTCGGATTCCAGGATAATATATTCATAAAAAAGAGGATCACATAAAAGCACTCATGATAAAGCCGCGCCCGGCCCCTACAACATCATTTTGGATTTTTAGATGATGGGGCGGATGGCAGGGGTAGGGGGCAAAGTTCCCCCACTTTTTCAAGTACCCCCAAATTGCCACTTTTACTTTGTAAGAAGTGTCCCTTCCCCTTTTCAGAGCTACCCCTTTTTAACTCGGATAAGCGCACATTTTATCAACACATGTGCCCCCTTTCCTTTCTGATAAGGGCTATTTAGAAAAATGAGGCCCTTCATAAAAAAGTGTCCCTTTTCATTCTCATAAGTATCCCTTTTCATCTCTGGTAAATAACTTTTTTCATTTACGAGAAGTTAATTCTTTTCACTTCAGTGCGCTCTTCACCTCCGATAATTGCCCCTATTCAAATCTGAGAGATACTCGTTTTACTTTGAAAAGTACCCCTTCCCCTCCTGATAAGTACTCTTTTCATCTATGATGGGTGCCCATTTTCACCTCTGCTAACTGCCATTTTATTTTAAATCGTGCCCCTTTTCCTTTCTAATAAGGGACCTATCCCCTTTTCATAAATGCCCCTTTTCACCTCTGATAAATCAATTTCTGATGGATGCCCCTTTTCCGTCGACAAATGCCCATTTCCCATACTCATAAGTGCCCTATCTCATTTCTGGTGAGTGCCTCCTTTCAGGTGTAAGAAGTGCCCCGTTTGAACCTTTGATAATTACTCTTTGTACTTTGACACATGCTCCTTTTCTTTTCTAATATGTGTCTTTATCACTTTCGATAAGTGTCCCCTTTACCTCTCCATCATTAGTCTTGCACCTAATTTAAAGCGACTAAGAGTAATTTCCCCTAAAGCTCGCTCGCTCGCATTTATAGATGATACAATTACATGTCACTTAACAAAGGTCTTTTCAGTCTTCCGTTACGAGAATGTGCTTGTAACCCCATCATGATTTGGTTTTTCCTCTTTATAAGATGTAATTTTTCACTCTGCGACCTCACAGATCTTACATTTTTTTTCTCGCTCGCTTTGCTCGCTCGCAAATGAATATTCAAACAATCACACCCAACCGAAAGTGTGATGCTTAAGCAATATCTTGTATAATTATAAAGAAAAACAAATATGGAAATCGTCCCTGATAATGGAATCACAATGAAGGGGTATATACCAATGTCTAAAAAAATGTATATTTTTGCTTTGAGATTTCGCTTTGTAGGTGCCCTTCTTTGTTGGTGCTTTCCACTTTGGAAATAGCTCCGCCGCCCCTGCTTACCCATTAGCGCCCGGACGCGCCAGCGTTAATTTCACGCTTGCGCGCAAAGGGGGTGTCTGTGGGGGGATGTCCTCTCTATCTCTGAAGCTGAATTTTTTAACTGGATTCGTGCGTTTTGGTTAATAATTTTTTGGGGCGTCTGATTTCATTTCAAAACACCTGCAGTCAATGCGGGATGGGGTTGCAGCCTCTCTTTCCCCGAAAATTAAAAAATTACTAATATGCATTTTTTATATCTTATCTCGTATATTTTGGTGACAAATAACACTTTCACAACATACGTAATTATGCTCAAATTTCCGCTCGCCAAATTATGAAACCAGGAAATAGATATTGGAGCAAGAGGCTTCACCTCCCACTGATGGAAATGTCAAAAAAATTGCGCGCGAGCATAACTTGAAAACGGGTAATGTTGATATCGGACAAGAGACGTGACGTGAGCATGTCCCCTTTCCAAAATTGTGCCCGCTTGTAGGTACCAGTACACTAAGTACAGTGCTTCTAATATGACCTTGTCAGTATTGGTATTAAAGTTGAAATAACGCCTTTTACGGTCTGCGCGATTTTCGAATTTCCGGCCCCCCCTATTGGAAAATCCTGGATCCGCGCCTGTTAACTATCCATATCTTATTCCATCATCATCAATGACTAACCTCATTTTTCACTTGTAGCTTGCACTGCACAACACAGTTGATGATGATGCAACAATGATCCAATTGGGGGTAATGAAAGCCTTCTGAAGCCCGGAAACTCCGGGAGGACAGCCCAGACGGGTTCCGTTTCTCTGTGCGAGCTCGGCACGGACAAAAAAAAAGGTTGTCGAGGCTAGAGCTCAAAGTCAAAGCCAAAATATAGGAGAGGAACGTTTCCAGATGGAAATTTTCTACAGGAATGAAGAAATGAAGCCGTTATATGTGCCCTTCATTACAGTCGTTTGACTCATTCACTAGCAATTCAGACAACTGATGCTGATGATGCTGATGATGCTGAAGTTATTCGAGTGTTGCGCCAAATTCCACTCCATCAATGCATAGAGAGTCAATTCTAATGCGTATTAACCTCTAGCACTGCATGCTTGCTGTGGAGGTGGGTATTATTAGACCCATACACAAATATACACACCACACAATATCACATAGACTGTACACAATTATGTCGATGCAGCTGTAAGCAAAGTTTGACACTAGACTTACCATTTGAATTTTTAAATTATTCTTTTTAACATCAGTGAGTTAAAAAAATGTATTTTACAGCCATTTAGGTGTCATCAATTGTCACTAAAGTACCGATTTTGAGTGAAATCAGTTGAATTTTGTACAGTGGTGTTTCAAATGTTGAGAATCAAAAGCACATCTTTTACTACACAGCCAGGATAGTGATGCTGCCAAAATCGAGCCCACACATGATTAACACTAGTCTCATTTGAGGCTAATGATGTAATTGTTACAATCTAAATCAGAGAGTATAACTTACGGAGAAAGCCGACTCGCTAAAAAAAAATGCACAAAGGCAAAAGGTTGAAAGTTTGAAAAGTTGAAATAAAATCTTGTCCCTCACTTGCCAATTTTGAAAGAAAATATAAATTGTTCTGATCAATACCTAATTTTAAGTGTTTTTTTTCGATACATGATTCAAAGGTCCAATGACCAAAACAAATATACAATAATGAGCCAAACGAATCCCTTTTGACTGGTTCATGTTTTTTTAATGTCTTGGTGTGTTTTTTTCTTCTGATTTAATGTTTTTTTATACATAATATACACATTTTATATTTTTTGTAAAGGGCTTGCCATTGACAGGCGGTCAGTTGCCTTTTTGCAAATCCCACTACTGATATGTGAATTTTGTTGTCTTTTATACTTGTTATTTTCTTTTTCAGTGTATCTTATTGTCATTGTGATTGTTCTTTTTATTCAAATGTGAAAATAAAATTAGTTGAATTGAATTGAATAAATGGCCCCAGCTGGGGTAGGCCTAGATAAACGGCTGAATGCATGGAACAAAGCGAGATTCGAAGGAGGAGGAAGGAATTGGGTCAAGTGAATATGTAAGTGAATAAGCAAATGATGCGAAATGAATAAGTATAGAAACAAGAGACTAGAGAAACAAATAGTAATTGTGACAAATACAAGTAGGGAATTAGTCTAACTTAAACTCTTACAGTAGTATAGTTTATTTGTTACTCTTTGTAAGATTTGTTGTTATATACTCATCATGTTTATACTCAGCTCTTTTCCCTATAATGTAACATTAATGTTTCCTTGTGCAGCTGAGTCTGAAATAAAGTTCTGAATTGAATTGAATTGGCCGGGGCATCTAGAACAGAGATCTTTCCTGGGATTTAAGGGCAGAAAATAGGTCACTAATGTGGCTCCTTGGTTGAGCCCTCAGGACCATTCTTGCCAACCTATTATGTAATTTAAGTAATCTATCTAAGAGACCTCTAGCCAATTTGACCAAACAGGCGTCGCAGTATAATAGAATCGTGGCATAATCAGAGCGTTAAGAGTAGTTTAGAAATATTGTTTGGGGAAATTAATAAGGTTTTGCCGATTTTCGTATAGAAAACCTTTTTTTTTTTTTGGGGGGGGGGGCGGTATAATCAATATGTTTTTTTTTTTTCATACGATAGATTTTCATCTAGTATAACCCAGAGATTATTCTGTCACTCTTCAATTTCGTTCTGACCTTCAGAAACTTTAGAGTCGCTGCCTCGAACCAAACATGCATACAAGAAAAACTTACAACAAAATATAGTTAAAAAAATATAAAGAAATTAACAGGCGAAGCACCTTCCAAAATGTATGTGTGTGGGGGCGGGGGATTAACCAGCAAAAAGGCACTTTCTGGAAGAAAAAAAAAGGGGCTGCGTTGCACCTACAAAGAGGATCCTTAAAGGGAAATATACATACAATAGGCCTATCTGGGACCATGTAAAGAAAGAAACAATAAAACCATCGTCGGTAATTGTATTAATCACAATGTAGGTATAATGGTTATGAATAGTTGATGTAATTATGTAACTTATTAAAGGCCTTTGCAGTCTTTTACGCTTATATTGTTCTCAAGATCTCATCAGGATTTTTCTCCTTCATGTTAAGATATTATAGAAAATGGTCATCTCAATATACTTTTTAAATATAACAAATATAATTTACCACCTCTCTTTTGGGGCACGGGATAACGATTGTCGGAATAACATTATTGGAAATACTCATATTTTGGGGATGCAGAAACGCTGCCCCTCCTTCATCCCACGCTTCTGTGTTTCTCTTGAATTTCTATGACTTTTGTTGCACTTAAATCAACTGTAAACTACAAAAAAGAAATGATAATAATAAAAGGATTGAGCACTGAGCTTTTTATCGTCTTAGGCCTTTGATATCTCCCTGTTTCAAATCTATTTTAGTTTAACCAACTGTCATTTTGAAGCATAATACATGTACCTTCAAAAAGGCTTCCGAAGATCGATAAACCAAAAAGAAAAAGAAAATATCAAAGATTGCCCTGTTTGTCGATTTGTATATCCTTTCCCCTCTTTCCCTTCCTCTTTCACTATCTCTTTCATGTCAATCTAATATTCTCTCTCTCTTTCTCTCTCTCTCTCTCTCTCTCTCTCTCTTTCACTCTTTTGCCCCTCCCTCCGTTTCTCATCATTCCATGAAAAATGTGACTCATCTCAACGTGTGAGAAAGAAGGACAAATTCGTCTTCATTACTTTTATTTTTTATTTTTTATTTGGTGAGATTAAAGTCACTCTTATCCCATTTAAACATCCATGATATGATATGAATCGTACACTAGGCTTATAATCTATTTATAGAAGTACGGGTACTGACCAAAATGTATCTTGTCTGAATATAACCTTTCCTGTTACTAAACTTTGCGATAGATGATGCAAGCGAGCGAGTAGCAACGAAAATAGAATTAGAAGGTAATATCTATTTAAAAACATTATCATGCTAACAAATCTCTCCTAATAACTCTTGTTGACACCTTTCCGAAATGGGTTTTCCCACAATTAATCAACGAGGTGTGGGTGGGGGAGGGGAGGGGAGGGGGGAGGGGAGGGGGGAGGGGAGGGGAGGGGGTTGTAGCCCATCCCACACCCTCCTGTGCAAGAAATATGTTAGAATACGTTAAAACTTGGTAAAGAAGTATTCTATCCCAATGCATCAACCGCAATTATCAGAAATTATTTAAGATCCACAAACATTATAGTAGTCCATGTAGAATCCAAAACATGACGTCACTAATGATGTCACAATACAGGAAGACGATCACACCATGATCATAATTATCATCGTATCTCCAGGTTTCAGAATAAATTGGCTGCCATCTTCCACTATATACTTCCAAGTGCATGCTTATGGAATTATAACTCCCCCCCCCCCCATAAACCCTCCCAACCGAATAGAATACTATGGACATAATGGATGCACCATGTTATAGGCCTTTCTCAATCATTCAAATTTGTCTTTGTCATGATAATAGTTATATATTTTTGGACGAGTTTAGTGTCACCCAGAGGCTCTCTCTCTCTCTCTCTCTCTCTCTCTCTCTCTCTCTCTCTCTCTCTCTCTCTCTCTCTCTCCCTCTCCTCTTCATCTTCCTCTCTCTCTCTCTCTCTCTCTCTTTCTCTCCCTCTTCCTCTTCCTCTTCCTCTTCTTCCTCCTCCTCCACCTCCCCCTCCTCCTCCTCCTCCTCTCTCCTCCTCCTCCTCCTCTTCTGCTTTTTCCTCCTCCGTTGACAAGTTAAAAGCTTCGGTACATGGCGAATTTACATCATAAGGTTCTGCATCAAAGTTTAATAAAAAAATAACAAAGAATTTTTAAAGAGATTGTATTTTCTTAACAACCGTTATAAAGCACAAAATATTAACATTTCGTAACATAATAAGAACAATTATATGCTGAAAATTTCATGGCGTGTGTGTATTTTTTTCTCTCCGATTGTATGGACCATCCGGCAGGCCATTGTATTGAAAATCAATCTCAGAATAACATATTTGAATACAGTTATATACAAATGAATATCAAATAATACTTCAGAATAAGATATACATAATGAATATCAACCATAATAAGCGATGACTGAAAGCGTAACATATTGATAATAGTAATATGGTAATGATAATACTATTATACAGAACATAATAATATAAACAAATTATTTTAAAAAATTGTAACGTATTTCTAACGTTGATGCGAAACCTTGGAAAAACCTTACGTAAAATACTCGAAGTTGTGTACTTCATGAGAATTTGTAAAGTAAAAACTCTTAAAAAGAGGGAAAGCCTGAGTAATCGTTTTCATTTAAAAAAGAAGAAAAAGGTTTTTGTCACTAACTTAGTGACATTATTATTTCTAGAGGTGAATTATAGGAAAGGACAAGGGTGTCGATTTGTATCCGTGGTTGGGGGGGATGATAGGTGCCAAAATATTTTCGGCAATGGATCAAAGCTACCAAAGTGGTAAAAGCGTGTGGCAAGTTGCACCCCTCCCAAGCGCGTAGCCAGGATTTAATTTTAGGGGGGCGGTAGTGAGCACGCGAAGCGCGGTTCCTAGGGGGTTGGGTGCAGGGAGGGTGAGTCCTCCCCCCCTTCCCCCCCCCCCCGCGCAAAGCGCGGAAGCTTTGACGTTTCACTAAATTATTAGAGAAAGAAGACGATTCGTTGGACCGTTCTCGACTCTTAATTAATCCTTGTTTGAATCAAATTCCCCTTCCTCCGCGCGTAGCGCGGTAGCTCTGACGTTTCATTAGATTATTAAAGAAAGAAGACGATTCGATGTACCATTCTCGACTCTTAATCCTTGTTTGAATTAAGTTCCCCTTCCTCCGCGCGTAGCGCGGAAGCTCTGACGTTTCATTAGATTATTAATGAAAGAAGACGATTCGATGTACCATTCTCGACTCTTAATCCTTGTTTGAATTAAGTTCCCCTTCCTCCGCGCGTAGCGCGAAAGCTCTGACGTTTCATTAGACTATTAAAGAAAGAAGACGATTCGATGTACCATTCTCGACTCTTAATCATTAATGTTTGAATCAAGTTCCCCTTCCCCCGCGCGTATCGCGGAAGCTTTGACGTTTCATTAGATTATTCAAGAAAGAAGACGATTCTATGTATCATTCTCGACTCGTAATCCTTGTCTGAATTCATTTTTGCCCATTCCTGCGCGAAGCGCGGAAGCTTCCACATTTTATTACATTATTAGAGAAAGAAGACGATTTGTTGTATCGTGTCCTTCATGAATTCAGTTTCCCCCCTACCGCGCTAAGCGCGGAAGCTTTAATGTTTCAATAAATTATTACTCTTTATCCTTGTCTGTATTCATTTTCGCCCATTCCGCGCGTAGCGCGGAAACTTTCACGTTTCATTAAATTATTAGTAAAAGAAGACGATTAGTTGTATCGTGTACTTTGACCAGTGGCGTACCTGGGGTACTCCGTCAGGGGGGGCAAGCGACCGAAACAAACAAAAAAGGCGATACTAATTTTCACTTCTGGCGAGCGAGCGAGCAAAAAAAATCTTTAAGTAACGTTTGGTATATAAACTGGTATTGTTGCAAGTTGGGGGTGGGAACATTCACTTGTTAGCGACGTTAATTTCATTTTTTTGCAAACGAGCGTAGCGAGCAAGAAAAAAATCACTTCTTTTTTAATAATTGTCACTTAATTAAACTTGGTTCAATTGTCCCATGCAGGGCGCGGGAACAATATTGTGTTTAGGCTAATTTTATACCCATTTTAGCTAGCGAGCGAAAATACATCTTTCTCTCAATGAGTTGCTATATAAAATTTGTTTCATTGTTGCAGGTCGGGGGCAGGCACAATCGTGTTTAAGGCAATGTCAATCCCATTTTGGCGGGCAGGCAACCCCCTACATTTCTCTTTTTAATGATGTTGTAGCAGGTTAGTGGTGGGCACATAATTCCACGAGCTAGCGAGCGTAGTGAGCGAGCGAAAAAAAATCACTTCTCTTTTATAGGGAAAATATGGTACATAAAACTTGGGTTCATCATTCCATGTCAGGGACGTGATTATTAAAAGCGGTGTTATTTCTATTTTGGCGAGCGAGCGTAGCGAGCAAGCGAAAAAAAATCACTTCTCTTTTATAGGGAAAATATGGTACATAAACTTGGGTTCATTGTTCCATGTCAGGGACATGATTATTAAAAGCGGTGTTATTTCTATTTTGGCGAGCGAGCGTAGCGAGCGAGGAAAAAAAAAATCACTTCTCTTTTATAGGGAAAATATGGTACATAAACTTGGGTTCATTGTTCCATGTCAGGGACGTGATTATTAAAAGCGGTGTTATTTCTATTTTGGCGAGCGAGCGTAGCGAGCGAGCAAAAAAACCCACTTCTCTTTTATAGGGAAAATATGGTACATAAACTTGGGTTCATTGTTCCATGTCAGGGACATCATGATTATTAAAAGCGGTGTTTTTTCTATTTTGGCAAGCGAGCGTAGCGAGCGAGCAAAAAAAAATCACTTCTCTTTTATAGGGAAAATATGGTACATAAACTTGGGTTCATTGTTCCATGTCAGGGACATGATTACTAAAAGCGGTGTTATTTCTATTTTGGCGAGCGAGCGTAGCAAGCGAGGAAAAAAAAAATCACTTCTCTTTTATAGGGAAAATATGGTACATAAACTTGGGTTCATTGTTCCATGTCAGGGACGTGACTATTAAAAGTGGTGTTATTTCTATTTTGGCGAGCGAGCGTAGCGAGCGAGCAAAATTTTTGTAATGATAGTTGGTTCATAAATTTCAGATTTTTTTGTTGCAGGGCAGGGCTTACACAATCATGTCTAAGGTGATGTTAATTCCGTTTTGGCGAGCACGAGCACACCAAAACTTCTTTGAATAACGTTTGGTACATAATTATTAACTGGTTGTTGCAGGTTGGGGCGGGCACGTTAGCGGTGTCAATTCCATTTTGGCGAGCGAGCATAGCGAGCAAGCAAAAAAAAAATTCTCTTTTAATAGAAATTAATAAATAAACTTGTTTTTATTGGTGCAGGTCAGGATGGACGCAACCGCGTTCAACGCGATTCAATTCCTTTTTGGCGAGAGGGCGAAAAAAACTCTTCCATTTTTTATTATATTGTTGCAGGTCAAGGGTGGGCACAATTGTTTTCAAAACAATGTCTATTCATTTTATTCGCGAGCGAGTGTAGCGAGCGAGAAAAATGAATTGGTCTCTTTTAGTAACATTTGGTACATATATTGTGTGTTATTGTTGCCATGGTTGCAGGTCGGGGCCCGTCGGGGCAGGCACAATTGTATTCTAGGCAATGCTAATCCTTTTCTTTTTTCAGGGGGACAAGCAAGTGAAAACATTTAATACAAAATAGGCTAGCAAGCAGTTCGCACCAGCGAAGAGTTTCAAATTTGTTATATCACTTATATTTTCCTATTTTCATTTGTCTTAATTTTTCAGGGCCGTATGCGGAATATTTTTCTGGTGGGGGAGGGGGAAAGATGCGTTAAAAGTTTTCGAAAAATCTCAAAAGCAAAAGGAGTGAAGGGAGTTCGAGCGACCGAACTAGTCATGAGGGTACTTTTGCATTTTCAAAAGCAGAATTGAAGGATTTGGTATAGGCCTACACTACATTTTCAGGAAAAAAAAACTGTACGTTTTCAAAATATCTGGGGTCAACTGCCCCCCCCCCCCCTGGTGCGTACGGCCATGGTCTTTTTTTTTTTAAATTTCCCCATTTTTTTCCTTTCCTTTTCTTTTCCCTTTTTCTTCCTTTTCTCTTCTTCTTTTTTTCTTTCCTTTTCCTTTTTTTCCTTTTTTCTCTTTCTTTCCTTTTTTTCTTCCCTTTTCCTTTTTTCTTTTTCTTTCCTTTCCTTTCTTTTCTTTTCTTTCCCCTTTTTCTTTTTTTCCCCTGGAGCCCGTCAGGGGGGGCACTCTGCCCCCCCTGCCCCCCCCCATAGGTACGCCAGTGACTTTGACGTTTCATTTGATTATTACTCTTAATCCACGTCTGAATTCAGTTGCCCCCTAACAGCTTTGCCCTGTTCGCTAAATTATTAGAGAAAGAAGACGATTCGTTGTACTGTTCTCTATATTAATCCTTGTCAGAATTCAGTTTCCCCACTGAAAATAAGTTGTGTCACAAATAAGTTGTGACATAATAATCTTTCTCCAAAAATGAAAAATGTTTTAGGAAATATCAGGAAATAAAATGAGTGAAAAAAAATAAAAATAAAGATACAATGACGTGAATTTTAAAAAGGGTGAACGGAAACAACATAACAACTAGTGAAGTCATACTAATGTCCGAAAATCTTTCTCCTTGTCTCCGATCTCATCACGAAATCGTCACAGAGTTCATCTATGTTTACACTGTCCAGGATTGTCTGATGTGCATTGCAGATTGCGAATTTTGTGCTTCGCGCTTAACATTTAGCTCGTTGCTTTTGATGCTGCGTCTTTTCATTTGGCGCACTGCATTTCTATGATGCTGTTGATTGAACAAATTGAATAAATTCATCAATTCCTGATGAAGCCGTATGACCGAGAATTCAATTTATTTTTGTCTCATATACGGTTGTCTTATTTACTTCGTATATATGTATGTATTATGAAAATGATATAGCAAAATGTGTATATTGATGGTCATCTTGCGAGTAATAACCATTAACTACTCTCATCGGACTCTCATCATTAATTTTTCTCTTCATTTTTTAATATTTTTTTATGGTGAATTATTGGGGGGATGATTGTACAGGCCATCCCCCCCCCCACCTGAAATATTGGGGGGGGGGGATATCCACCACCCCCCCCCCCCCCGGGATCGACACCCATGGGAAAGGAGTTATTATCTCCACGAATCCTGGCATTTTGCATTTTTCAAATGTTGCAAAAAGATTGTTTAAAGTCACTCTATTACTATCAATATCATTACTTTTTCCCCCAAGTTCACAACATATTTTTTATCATTATTGCTATTAATAATAAAAGCTGCCTGAATTAGTAACATTTGAATCAAATTTACTACTGAATACTAGAATACTTTCACTTGGTTCCTATTGAAATATATATCTCATCATGATATATGAAAAGCCTTTCGTTAACTCAATCTAATATTTGCCAATGAATGAATATGTTTCCTTTCTTCTCAAATTGGCCGTATCCCCTCAAGTTTTGTGTAGGTCTTGATTTCTTGTTAAAAGAATACAAAATAGACAATATCCAATGTTGAATTGTCTTTCGCTTTTCATAACTTCTAAGTTTCTTGCAGATGTATCAAATATTTAAACATTTATGGTCCCTTTAGCATTTCTTGTGATTGATATATTACCCGCATTATTTTGTCATGATATATTATCGTTATTATTTTGTAAAATATTATTAACGTTATTATTATTATAATTAGTATTTTTGTTATTAGTATTATTATTATTATCATTTATATTATCATATTATTATTATCATTTATATTATCATATTATTATTATTATCAATTATCATTATTATTATAATTATTATCAATTATCATTATTATTATAATTATTATCTGTTATTATAATTATTATAATCATTATTCTCATCATTATTTTTATTACTCAATTATCATTATTATCATCATTATTAGTAGTAGTAGTACTGTAGTAGTAGAAGTAGTAGTAGTAGTAGTAGGAGTAGTAGAAGTAGTAGTAGTAATAGTAGTAGAAGTAGTAGTAGTAGTAATAGTAGTAGTAGTAGTAGTAATAGTAGTAGTAATAGTAGTAGAAGTATTAGTAGTAGTAATAGTAGTAGTAGTAGTAGTAGTAGTAGTAATAGTAGTAGTAATAGTAGTAGAAGTAGTAATAGCAGTATTGTTCTTGTTTTAGATGTTATTGTCATCATCTCTATAATACTACTGTTATTATTTATGTGTTTATTATGTTATTATGTTCTTATTTATGTGTATTTGAAAGTTCCTACAGGAACGAGAACAACATATGATATGAAGTTTCTGAAAAGAATTTAGAAGAAGTTAATGTGCTCCATTCACATGTCTTGTTCTTCCTTCGTCACGTCCATTCGTAGTCGTAGTCGTTGCGTCGTCGTCTGCCGAATATAAGACGAATCGTCCTGACATCGGTACGGAATTACGACTTTTTGACACTACGATCTGGTTATTAGAGTTGTTTAGGAAGGATCTTTTACCGTTGTTACCTGTTCGAAAGAAAAAAATAAGAATACATTATGCAGATTGTATTCCGTTATTAAGAATAAATTATGCAGATTGTATTCCGTAATAAAAAAATTATTTATGCAGATTGATATATTCCGTAATTATTAAATGGTTGTATGCTATACCGTAAGAAAATTATCTTTAGACTTAGAGCAATATAGATTAAGAGAAGGGAGGAGCGAATATATTCGCAGAGAACTACACAATATTATTATACAGGAGAATAGATGATTGGAAAGATACACCAATATCAGTCCTATGAATACATACTTTACATGATGCGCACACGACCCATATTACATCAAGGTTTCTCAAAAATTTTCATCGGACCTAAACTAGTAGCTTTCCGGTCTTTGAAAAGAATGGATGTCCTAGTAAAGCCTTCCTGCGTTCACAATTACTTTCCGAACACACATTTGTTGGTAAATTCAACGAGTCCGGTATGAGCAAACTTTGAGGCATTGCACAAGAAACTCTGTCTTTATTTTTCATGTTCAAGTTTGTGGATTTATATCGTTATTTGGGTCTAGTTCCGCAACAAGCCTATACATCTCACCATTCGATATAACAACAATCTGGCAATATAACTTTGAATATGTCTAAAGGTGGCGTGGGCCTGTAACAACGGAAGTTACAAACGGATTCAGCGGAGGACGCAGGTTCGAAACTGAGTCTTTCGGATGGTGAAATCGGTCCTCATACGTAAATAATCATATCTGATTGACACGCGTCTGTAAAAACATAATTACACACACTTACTTTGTCTGGACAACTGTTGGAACACAAATGATCCGTCATTGTCTTCTATAGCATTCATTATATAGCGCGTAATCCTCCTTGGATTGAAGGGCTGTATCAGTAAAAGAAAGAATAATAGTTAAAGATGACATTTTCTTTAAAAAAAGAAACATTCTAATTATGAAAGATAAATCACAAACTATTTCAAAGGATCTTGTCAGGTTTTAAGGGGGGAAATATGATTGTTTGGGTGCGTCTATTATGTTCTGAGGGCAGTTTGTTAACGCATTTTAAGAAGTACCAACAAAAAATTAGGTTACTAACAATTTCGTTTTTACCCTCATATATCTAGCGTTTACTTGTTTATTGGTTTTTTATTTTAAAAATTCTAAGGTTTTTTCATTATTTGTCTAAGTCGCATCTTTTCACAACATATCAAATGTCTCCATCAAGCTTTGAATTCGTTTTTGAAACGATCCATTTATATGATTGCGCCATGTTTTCAAGGATTCACTGTGAATTTGCAAAGTGTTAGCGTGGTTCAAGTCACTGTGGGGGGGGGGCAAGCACTGATCTTACACATAATATGGAAAACATAGCACAGTTTTGGGGGATGGGATCGGGTGATGTCATCAGATTTCTACATTCATTCTCTCCTCCGCCCCTCCCCATTTCTCCCCGGCCCTTCCTATCTTGTTCTCCTTTTTTTGTTTTCATCTGCTCTATCGGTTTGGCAGGGGTATGATATAGAATGAAAATTTAATTAAATAAAGCCATGTTATCAAATCTCAATATCTTACCACCATTTTTTGTTGAGTGAAATCGAATACACGATTACCATCAGTAGTTTTGAGAATGCTTGTGAGCGGGCCATCAGAAAATATCGTTAAATATTTCTCAAAGACAAACGGTACTGCGTGGAAAAAGAGAAATGAATTGAGATCAGTAGCTTGTATAAGATGTAATGTGAAATATTTCTAAAGTATTAATTGGCGTGGAAATATACAAGTTTCAGAATATGTTTACAATACATAGAATTAACTTATAATTTGTAGAGAGGGCGTTAAAAATTAAAACAAAATTAATCAAAAAATACATGTATATATTATAACCAAAGTTTTCAAAATTCTTCTATCCCAGGAGTTCAGCCAGCCTTCCTGAGTCTCCGAGAGGAGGGGGGGGGGGGGGGGGGGGAGTTCTTTTCTTCCATCCCCCCTACCCTCTAATCAGATTAATTTTCATGCGTTGTTGTTTTGGGTTTTATAAAAAAGGGAAACCCTTTCGTTCTGCCCGTTGAATCCAAGTATGCCAGAATATGCCTAAAAATAGTTCATGTTTGTAGACCTACCTAGTTCGTGTCCCATGACCAATTTTCCATTCGATGCTATGTTAACGTACAGCTGTGATCCTCCATCCGGGTCTTGTGTGATGTAATAAGGTGTCATCGGGTCATCACTGTCCCGGATGTAGCGTGGACCTTGTACTGTGACCTGGATCTCGATGGATCGTTCAACCTCTGGACGATGAACAGACAAAGATGACGGACATGATGATTATAATGAAATGTGGTAAGGCACATGCTATTAAAGGCGACAATGTTCCGCAGAAAAATGAAAATATTCAACTGTTAATTTGTCCCTTCACCGGACACAACCTAGCTGTATAACCAAACCGTGGGCTTTAACATATGACCTAAGACCCAATCTCAGAAACTATCCAATTATCATCATTATCATTATTATTATCATTATTGTTATCATTATAGACATGTATTACTATTTTTTTTTAATCAGTATAGGCTACAGGCCTATCATTAAAATGGGATCATCAATTTTGATAATAAACAGGTGGACAAGGTCAGGACTGGACAAGGTCATCAATTTAAATGGTTTAATTTACATAAAATCAAAGATTTATCCACTACTTCGAAAAGTTATGGTCATATTAATTGTTACAGTCCCTTGACGAGGACTTAAAGCTGCCGGTCCTCGGGTTGCTTACTAACAAGCATTTATGCTTTTCCTAGCAGTCAGGTAAAATAACCAACACCATTACCACAATTGGACAAGAAAGTCGGGGGTTGTCTATTTTGATTATTTTCAAAGAAAACATTGTCGTGGATAAAACCAGGCCCAGGTCTATACAACATAATATAGTTTCGTAATTTAGAAATATACTTTAGATTAGTCAATATGGAATATTTACCATCGATGTTGGTGGTGAATTGAATGACGATCTCCGTTCTCTCTCCTGATTCCTGTTTTCGAAGGATTGTCTGTTGATTGTTGTTTTTGTTGTTGTTTGTCAATTGATTGGGAAAAGGGAAACAGTATTTGTAATATTGTTAGAAATGTGGTTTAAAGTTCCCCCAAACAGAAAGGTATCGAAATCATCATTAAAGATGTATCAAAATCGTATAATACTGTATCCGAAGATTTTAATATCTATCAAGCAGGAGTTCCCAACATAAAAGAGGAAAAGTGGATCAGTAAAAAAGAAGAATAGAATAAAATAATGTGAAGAAGAGGAATAACTATATAGGAAGCAGAAGGCCGGCATATAAATGAAAGCACCGGGGCACCATAATACAAAAGTGTATTTTACATCACAAAGTACAAGAGAAAGGACACAGAAAATAACCATTATCGTCATTGTTGTGAAACATAAGAGAGCACTTAATTATCAAACATATTTCTAAAGCGGTTTAAGAATAACTTACCAGAGAAAATGGGTTTCCAACCCTTGAGAAGAGGGCTATGACCTCGATAAGGTTTGTAAAGGAAAGGTCAGTATCATCAAGGTGAGTCAAGATATCATTCTCCCTACAAAAAAAAACGATCGAGAGAATACCTGAATCAGGATTACATAACGAATATGCATTATGTCATGTTATTACTATAAAAAAAGGAGTGTTTTTGCTGGATATAATTTTCCTTCTGTTTTGCTATAAACACTGCATTGTAAATTGATTTATACGGTATTATGTTTACAAACAGAATGTTGATTTGTTACATTACATTGTAAATTGATTTATATGTTTATAAACAGAATATTGATGTACATCAATGAAGTTTAATAAATACAATACAATACAATACATGATTGTGCTTATGTTTTAAACGTTTAACACACAACACCTGTTTATATTTTTTCAAATATAAATAGGGTAGGACAGACTCATCGAATATGGTTTTTACTGGTATAGTGCTTTTACGAAGCCACATTGTGGTTTTGTAACGTCAAAGATTAATCCCCTCCTAGGAAGAGAGATGACAAAGAAATTGGGCGTGGTCAAAGAAAGAGAATTAGAGAAAGAATGAATGGGTAAAAGTATGAGATGCAGAAAGAGGGGGACAGGCAGATAGGAGAACAAGTGGAAGGAGAGATACAGAAAGAGAGAGAGAGAGAGAGAGAGAGAGAGAGAGAGAGAGAGAGAGAGAGAGAGAGAGAGAGAAAGAGACTCAGAGAGAGGAGGGATATGGAAAGGAGAGATGGGGAAGAAGAGGGGGCAGGATAAAAGAATAGAAGAAGGGGCAAGACAAGAGAAAATAGGAAGGAGGCAGGATAAGAGAAGTAAAAAGGGAACGGGTCAAGAAAGAGAAAGAAGGGGCAGAACAAGAGAAGATAAGAGAAGAAGGGGCAGAACAAGAGAAGATAAGAGAAGAAGGGGGAAGAACAAGAGAAGAGAAGAGAAGAAGGGGGAAGAACAAGAGAAGATAAGAGAAGAAGGGGCAGAACAAGAGAAGATAAGAGAAGAAGGGGCAGAACAAGAGAAGATAAGAGAAGAAGGGGGAAGAACAAGAGAAGAGAAGAGAAGAAGGGGAAGAACAAGAGAAGATAAGAGAAGAAGGGGAAAGAACAAGAGAAGAGAATAGAAGAAGGGGCAGAACAAGAGAAGAGAATAGAAGAAGGGGCAGAACAAGAGAAGAGAATAGAAGAAGGGGGAAGAACAAGAGAAGAGAATAGAAGAAGGGGGAAGAACAAGAGAAGAGAAGAGAAGAAGGGGGAAGAACAAGAGAAGAGAATAGAAGAAGGGGGAAGAACAAGAAAAGAGAAGAGAAGAAGGGGGCAGAACAAGAGAAGAGAATAGAAGAAGGGGCAGAACAAGAGAAGAGAATAGAAGAAGGGGGAAGAACAAGAAAAGAGAAGAGAAGAAGGGGGCAGAACAAGAGAAGAGAAGAAGGGGGAAGAACAAGAGAAGAGAAGAGAAGAAGGGGCAGAACAAGAGAAGATAAGAGAAGAAGGGGGAAGAACAAGAGAAGAGAATAGAAGAAGGGCAGAACAAGAGAAGATAAGAGAAGAAGGGGAAGAACAAGAGAAGAGAAGAGAAGAAGGGGGAAGAACAAGAGAAGAGAAGAGAAGAAGGGGGAAGAACAAGAGAAGAGAAGACCGGTTGAACTTTTTTAGACCCCTCCCCAGGACGTCGATCGATTGCATGTATGTGCCCCCCCCCCCAAAAAAAAAAAACAAAAAAAAAACAAACAAACATCAAACTCTTTAAATGCCTTCATTATATTCTAAATATGACATGTAACAGGTTCAAATGAGGACCGCATTTTTATGCCACATGTTTGTGTAGTCCCATTTACATCTTTATGTGTACAGTGCTTGTTACTTTTCCCAAGTCTAGGCCAAATTTCTAATCATTTTGATGATTCCAGAACCTTGCAGTACACACCAATATACTGATCTGCTACCTGATCAACTGATCGATTCCACACAATTTCAATCATGCAATCGCATGACCAGAACTCAACTTTATCTTTGTACTCGATTGCTTGTCTTTTTTTAAAGGTATATGTATTCCAAATATATCATCACAGTGATAACAATTTAATCATTCATCATACTTACTGAAGCTTTGCATGATGAGCGAACGTATCTTGGAAGATTCTGGCGATTCTGTAGCCAAAATCATCCCTCTTGATGTGTAGCCCGAACCGATAGGGGGCGCTATTTGGGGAAGGACTTGGTAAATAAATATTGTTTCCCAGGTTCCCTTGGTCGCTTCCTGGTTCGCCCTCCTGCAGATACAGACAGAAATCAAAAACTTTTCACGAACAAGAGCGAAACCAAGGAGCATTGTTCTCTTTATTAACAACATGATAAAGGAGAAATCAAAGTTCAATTTTGTAGTACTTTCTTGCAACTCTGAACCGCTATAATGATGAGACCTTTAACACGAATGTATAAACTGTAATCATATTATTATGGAATTACCCTGCCCTACAGCTAGGAAGCCAACATTTACATCACCAAACCGACTCCGCATCGACCGAATGTGAATTTGGTCTAATGTCGGTCTAGTGTGGTGGTGGTGGTGGTGGTTATTTTACCTGACTGCTAAGAAAGCATAAATGCTTGTAACTAAGCAACCAGACGGCCGACGGCTTTAGGTCCTCTCCGGGGGACCTGGTTCGTTCGTTCGTGTCTCCTTAGATCAAGATTAATGTAATCTTGATCTTCGGAGTAGTTGCTACAACCGGCCGTGTCAGACACGTTGCGCCGGGGTGCGAGATAGGACTCTTGTAGCGTGCCCCCATTTAAAACAATTATACAATAACAGTTAACATTACATTTAATTAATAGTATGAAATTATTAAAATAACTCTCATGTTACGGGAAAAAATATTGCATATATATATTATGAATCAATTGATTTGGTCGATCCAGTTCGATGGCATATCCTAATAATGACAGAGCTTGGTCTTGTTGCTCTGTTCGCCAGAATGTCTTGCCAAAGAGACATTAGTGCCGCGGCTTAACTCCAACAATGTGATTCACATTCCAGTGACGTATCCACGAGACAAAATCTTACACATATAACAATCAGAATTATAGTTACATGTTTTTGCATATTATGTGAACCTTTAATCATGAAGAGGAGGAAAGTAGTAAGGGGGGGGGGCAAAGCATGATAATATAAACTGATGAGGTATTCTCCTCAAGAGATCAGGGAGAAAGCAAAAATCAATATTTTCTATGATAATTAGACTTGTACAATAAATTTCAGCATATTATCAAAGACATCAATGGTTGGGTTAGATATATAAGCCTACATGTATCAATGTTTATACAAAAATAAAATCAACTCTAATTATACTATATAAAACTGTTTTTATCTGATAAAATGTAGGTAAAATTGCACAATATTAAAAGACATTTGTGTTTGAGAAGTTTGACAGTAAGCAATGAAAGAAAATGACAGGGATTTCATGTCTGTATGTTACGTTTATAGAATTCACGGGTGTGTACACTACTGAGCAGCATGTGATTACAATCCAATCAAAGTATCGCATATATCAAATCTACGACAGGACTGTTGGGAAAATGTTCCACTTATTGAGATACTCAAAATGCTAACAAATAGTAAACTGCGATTTTGAGAACTCAACCAACTTTATATAGACTATCAGTTTTCATAAACTACTACCTTTTTTAAAACTTGACATAGATGAAACAAGAATGATGACCATAAATAGCAGGCCACATTTTTATATAAGAAAAAGTATCAAGATATATGAATGTAAAAACAGGGTACAACTTCAAATTTTCAATTTATCCTTTCTCATTGTAATGAAAATAATTACGAAGATAAGGAATGCAGGCAAGACGAAAAATGTCAAGTACAAAAAATATATTCAGATATCAAAATATTCTTACACTAATTGACTCTTTTATATCGTTAGTTCTCATGGAATATATCAACTAGAAGGACTGCCTGATTCAGTAGATCTTCTGTCTCCATCTACCCGTAGATTCACAGGCTCTATATCATTACTTTCTTTTCTTAGCTCTTCATCATCTTCTCCATCACAGCTTTCTGGGACCTGGTAATGAGGATTAATGCCTTACCAAAGGGCACTAGCGCGTGTCGGTCTGGTGTTGGTCTTGTCGGTGTTAAAGGTAATGCAAAGTTTTAGTATGGGGTCGTGAACTTGGTTCAAATGAACATATTGGAAGCATTGTACGGCACTAGGTGCTATTTGCAATTTATCGAAATTTACCGGGAGCACCGGTAAATTTTTATATTCAATTTTTCTCGAAAGCAGAAGTGTTTCAGGGGCTAAATTTTCTAGTGCTTATAATACATCCACAGGGGCATCCAGATATATCAAAATTGTAAAGAATCACCATCCACCCAATTTTCAAAATTTACCAAAACTTTGTATTACCTGACTAAAGGACTACAATAATTTAAATTCACACGAGCTCAAAAAATAAAGGGAAACAATGATTGCATTAAAAATAATGTAGGCATATTCCTAGCACTGTTTAGGGTTAATATACAGACAATTAATTAGTTGCTCATCATTCTATTGAAATTGAAGAAAAAGAAGAAGTAGTAGAAGAAGAAGAGGAAGAAGAGGAAGAAGAAGAAGAAGAAGAAGAAGAAGAAGAAGAAGAAGAAGAAGAAGAAGAGAAGGAAGAAGAAGAGGAAGAAGAAGAAGAAGAAGAAGAAGAAGAAGAAGAAGAAGAAGAAGAAGAAGAAGGAGAAGAGAAGGGAGAAGAAGAGGAAGAAGAAGAAGAAGAAGAAGAAGAAGAAGAAGAAGAAGAAGAAGTAGAAGAAGAAGAAGAAGAAAAGGAAGAAGAAGAAGAAGAAGAAGACGAAGAAGACGAAGAAGAAGAAGAGGAAGAAAACAGAAAGAGAAGAAGAAGAAGAAGAAGAAGAAGAAGACAGAAGAAGGAAAAGAAGACAAAAGAAGAAGACATGCAGAAGAAGACGAAGCGAAGAAGAACAAGAAAAAGAAGGGGAAGATCAAGAAGAAGAGGAAAGAAGAAGAATAACTAGTAGAAGAAGAAGAGGGAGAAGATGACGAAGACAGAAGAAGAAGAAGAAGAAAATGAGAAGAAGGACAAGAAAAAGAAGAAAAAAGAAAAAGCAAAGAAGAAGAAAAACGAGTACAAGAAGAAAAAGAATTAAAAACTATTAATAATATTTTTTTTAAAGGATATTTAAGAAGAAAAAGGGGAACTCATCTAAAAAGATGAATATGAGAAACAAATAAAATAAGAACAACATTGACATAATTGATATTATTATTATTATTATTTATTTATTTATTTATTTATTTTTTTTTTATAGATAATAGGCTTATATAGGTAGCGGCCTAATTTTATGAAAGTAGGAAGCGGGGGTGGGGTGGTGGCAGTTAAATCTGGGAGGCCTATGCTTTCATAGGGTAAATTTATTTTAAAAAACGTGTCTTGAATCTGTGTAACCTAGAGCACTTTGAAACAAATCTCTGCCCAGAGTTTGATACTCCCGGTTTGATGGAGGTCAAAATGTGCAGTACTCAACCGTGATCGCAAACAAAGATTGTATGCCCTATAGAGCGTCAGCAAATGTCTTTCATTCAGAATTTACGATTTCAGGAGTCGCTATAGTTCAATTTAGAAAAGAGTTCCGGTGCTCATTTAAACATAAACTTTTAAGGGAATATGAATACAAAATTCAACCTACCTGATCCCAAGGTAAACTAAAGGTAAACGATTCAATGATGTGCTGAGCGTCGTGTGCTATTTCGTCAACCAACCCAACGATGCTGTCTCCCACCTCCTTAAGGCCATCCTCGATGTTGTCTGCAAACTCCTCAATGCCGTCTACCACCTCATCAACGCCATCCTCGACTCGGCTCACTGTATGAACGATGCTATCGGCCACCTCCTTAAGGCCATCCTCGATGCTGTCGGCCACCTCCTTAAAGCCATAATCACAGCTGTCTCCCTCCTCCTTAAGGCCATCCTCACTGCTGTCTCCCACCTCCTTAAGGCCATCCTCGATGCTGTCTCCCTCCTCCTTAAGGCCATCCTCGATGCTGTCTCCCTCCTCCTTAAGGCCATCCTCACTGATGCCTCCCACCTCCTTAAGGCCATCCTCGATGCTGTCTCCCACCTCCTTAACGTCATCCTCACTGATGCCTCCCACCTCCTCAATGTCGTCTGGCACCTCCACAACTTCATCCTCGACTCGGTCCACTGTATGATCGATGCTGTCTGCAATACTCTCAATACCATCCTCGACTACGGTCACTACTGTATGATCGACGCCTGAAAACACTCCTTCCTCGACCGCGTCCACATTCTCTGTTACAGCTGGAGACTCCATCGCATCTAGAGAAGTCGTATAGTAGCTTGCCAAGGAATTCGGTGATAAAGCTTGCAGGAGTATAGCCTATATATGCCCTGTATTGGGCGGTGTAGCTCCTTTTACTAAAGAAAATAAAAGTGTAATGATCTCTGCACACTACTCGATCAGTACTTGTCTGATCGCAATTTGCTTGATAGATATAAATACAATTCCTCAAGCTCAGGAGACAAATATAAGATTTAGAACACTTTCAATATAAGCTCGCTAGTAGTTCTATCTTCATTTAAAAAAGAAAGAAAATAAATTGTCCACCGTTGAACGAAATGATCATTCCAGGACGCGGTTTGATCTTGATTGGTCAGAAATATGAATCTAGGAATTGACGCAGCTAGCTGGACTATGATAAAGTGGTGTGACTCTTTATACAGTTTGCTGTGAAAATGATTTCGTCACTTGTTGAGCTTTCAATCCATATGAAAAGCTCTTGCGACACCACTGAAAAAAGAATTGTGATAATGATTTCAGTTTAGGGGTTTTCCCACACCGAACAGGCATGAAAGGGAACATAATTTTTATGAAAAGAAAAAGAAAAGAAAAATCGAATCTGGCAGTATATACAAACGTGCAAACATTGACGGTCGTCTGTCCTCCGAAGTAACAATGAAACAATCTAGTCTGTATAAACAGACCTTAAAGGTAGTGTATCCATTTTGCAGCCAACTCCAAATTCTGTAGAAATTATGCAAGGAAACCCGTTTACTTTCTAGACTTCACTGTCAGACATTATTGAGTGACTGATTGACTTCTTTTTTCTTTGGTAATAACAAACATAAAAATGAGCTGTAAAGTGTACATAAGAATAGTCTACATTATTAACCCACTTCCTGTAATGGCATTTAATCTTTGCGCGACACAAAACGTACGACCATTCGGTACAAGAGTCTGAAAATAATTAAACGACCGCGCTCGCTAAATCCGATACGACAAATAACGGGCCTTTCTTTCCCACAAAAAGACATTTTCAAGCCCTTTTGTTTTGAGGGAAGTTCTAAATTATCATTATCTTTAAAATGCCGTTGGAATTTAACCTTTTACTTTTTGGGGCCTACAAATGGGACACAGTACCTTGAAGTTATACGATAGAACAACATTTGGGTGATGGTATATTGACAAATTATAGGCCCATACTTTGCTGTTGTGTACGATGGTGTGAATAAAAAATCTAAAGATTTCTGAGGTCACAATGCAACCGATTAGTTTTCATAATTAGATTAAGTAACCGATCTCGGTGGGATTTTGAGCAAAAATCTCATAATAAAAGAATGAATAAGATCTTTCATAGTTATGATACTTCATGAGATAAACTATGAATGCGAGCGAGCGTAGTGAGTTAGTTTTTGAGGAAATTTGAGTAAAATTGCACTAAATCGCTTTGAATTTAGGGGCACATGAGAAAATCGATTGTTTCTGGGGAAGATGAAGGGTAACAACATTATGTCACATTATAGTAATCACATAAGTGACATATATGTGTCAATGCAGTTGCTTGAGTTTGAAAACTTATTCATTGTCTGAATATTTATACTCTTGAACAAAGGGAAATTGATTGCTTTAGCCTAGAGAAAGAATGTTTGATAGCTTTGAAAACGAACTCAACTGTATTTCTAATGCCCCTGCCCCGGCCCTCCCGGCTCTTCTGCCTTTCATCGTAGTGGTATAAAAAGCTGGTCCTATTCTTTGAAACTAGATAAGGCAGTTTAAATTACCACAAAAGGGCCCAATTCGTAAGCTACAGTGGGAAATAGGGGCACTTTCCAAAAAAAAAGTATAAAAAAGGGAACTTATCACTGTTTGAAATTGGCACTTATCAGACGGTAAAAGGCCTATTACTTATAAAGGAAAATGGCAACTTTCAAAGTAAGTGGACACTTATCTGAGATGATCAGGGGCAATTCTCATAACATTAAAGGGACACTCATCAGAGATGAAAAGGGTCACTTATTAGAAGGGGAATAAAAATGCACTTATTACAAAAGAAAAGGGGCACTTTTAAGAAGAAGAAAGATGAATTTATTACAAAAGGAAAGAAGGCATGTTTTGTCAAATTAAAAGAGGCATTTATCAGATTAAAAAAGGTGAAAAGGGGCACTTATGACAAGGGGAAGAGGCACTTATTAGAAATTCATTAAGCTTAATGTTGCATGAATGAAAGATTGCAACTCAATTCAATTCAATTCATTTCAATTCACTAATGTGGTATAGCTTACGCTCAGTTAACGTCTTTTAAAGAAAAATATAGGCCTACCTTAAATTACAAATGTACGTCGAACAAAACAATAGCACAATGTATAACAAAGTGCTTACACGAACAGTGGCATTCCAAATTGATATGGTAATATTTTTTGCGCAGTTGCCTTGTGTATTAAGGTACGTTACAACTACCATTTCTGTTTTCTTTAAAGTTAAATGCATTGATGGCTTGAGCCAATTAATTCTGAAGTATAATAAACAGATATGATTCATGGCTTACATTTATAGTCTACCATCAGAGTATTTCAGCCATGACATCATTCGGACGACTTTGTCTTACATACCAGCTGGGTTTTTTTCCCCTAACCTTATTTCAGTCTCGGCACCCTTTTAAGAAAGACATTGTTTCGCGTCACTCTAGTCCTAAATTCATCATTGAAGATACATTCGGCATCACTCTAGCATTCGTCAAGTGCCATGCATACACGTAAGTGAAAATTTGTTTCTAAATTTTTTCGAGCAGCAACAAAATCTTTAATGTGGTAAAAATGATATTTTATCATATCATTATTTGGTCACTTTGATACATGGATACATGGATTTTCACGTATCTCGTTTCCCAGAATGATCCTGTTTCTAAATGTTGCGAGCGAGTGAAATGAACGAGTGTGGTAAAAAAAGTAATATTATATATAAAATATGCGATATATTCGAGCATCGAGGTGCCTGAATGACGACATTCGGGCACCTCGCTGGGAAATAGAAGGATTTTCGGGCACCTCGCCAATAAAATATGACTTGGAGCCTAAAAGTAAATAATCGCGGCCTGAAATCAACATGTTCGGCTATTTCGAAAGGTAGCGAGCAAGCGAAACGATCGATAAGGAAAGATACCTTATTGAATTGAAATGTTAATCCCTCATACAAATACATAGCGGTTTCTAATGCGTGTGTTTCGCGAAACTGACGTTATTCCAAAGTATTTCTCTTACGGCACCCCGGTTGGAAAAAGACGCTGCTATATATACACTGTCGCTCATATAGTTGGAATATTTTTTTTTTACCTCAATTTATGGAATTATTTCGACAATGATTTATTCCTATTAGATCTAAATAATAGTATACATTCTCAGATTTTATTGAATAATAATTTGCCATCATGTTTCAGTGGCCAAGCAATGACCTCATAACTGTGAGGCCCCAGGATCAAAACCGTGTCGATGTGCGATATTAGTGCCCTTTTGTGGAGCATTATTCCTCATTACTGTCATTTATGACTTATGGGCGTAGGTCCCCTAGTTGATAGGCATAGTAGCATACACATGCCTTAGCAGTCACGCAAAACAAACACTGGCAAATTATTATTCAATAAAATCTGAGAATGTATACTATTATCTAGATCTATTAGGAATAAATCATTGTCGAAATAATTCCATAAATTGGGGTAAAAAAAAAATATTCCAACTATATTAGCGACAGTGTACAATACAACTAGAGACATGACAGGGTCTGATGATATAGAGACTAAATCTTGTCGACATGCTGTCTGTTCCGAATTTATCTCATTCATCGAATTTTCATTGTTATTTCAATTGTGTAAATAATAGCCATGTTCAACGGGGTTTTCCTAGTCGGCGTCAGTTTTGCCCTGCTACAATAGATATTCTATAAATATTTGACTTACACCATTAGTTTTCCATACGATCTTTATTCTCCGACCAACTTGCCACGACTAAGTTGACACGACCTTCCACCGACCCAGTCTTCAACCCACATTTCAGTTATTGTAAGATTAGTTGAACATCTCATTGATTTGTAACAATGAAATTACAACATGTACCATCACCCCGTTCTGACTCCCATGAACACACCACTGAGTCTACCAGGCAAAATTAGTGCTGCAATAAAAATACCATTCCTGTTTAACTCATGCACAGGCACGTAGCCAGAGTTCGATGTTTTGTTTTGTTTTGTTTGTTTGTTTGTTTGTTTTTTTTTTTTTTTGGGGGGGGGGGGCACCTACAAAAAAAGGGGTCTAAAAAAGTTCAACCGATCTTGGAAATTTTAGGGGGGCACGTGCCCGCCCCCCCCCGTTTCTACGTGCCTGCTCATGCATAACCATGACATTCACTCAGCAGATCATGAATGTATCATATTACCCTCAATTATGTAAGCTCCAAAGGATTTACCTCTCACAAATTGGAAGGTTAATTCCTGCGCAACCGAATTTTCATTTGCTCACCCAAGCATGAATTATTTTCGGACATTTTGGTGTCATATGAGCTTTCCATACATATAAAACTTTTCCCCCAGAATCATATATCTTTTTTTATTCGGCAGCCATTTCAAAAGTGTATAGTTTTTGGGGGGACGCACTGTAATTGCCAATTCGCTAGTCGTCAAGGTTGCTGGTTCCAAACTAAAAAAGCATGTTCACCGCGAAACCATTAAAGCAACGGGCTGGAGTATGGCATATATTATAGTAGTGGTGTTCACACGCTGTCAATTTTGGTCGGCTATTGGCTTGGTTTAGTTCAACCAATATTACACAAATCTAATGTGTACTTTCCCTTTTCGTGACCACCCACGCCCTCTCTCTCTCTCTCTCTCTCTCTCTCTCTCTCCATCTCTCTCTTTCTTTCTCTCTCCCCCTCTCTATCCGTCTCTCTGTCTTTCTTTGTCTCTCTCTCTCTCTCTCTCTCTCTCTCTCTCTCTCTCTCTCTCTCTCTCTCTCTCTCCTGGCCTCCCTCACCTTTTTCCCCATCTCATCATGTTATCTCATTTAATTTTAGTCGTCAGTTCTCATTATTTTGCAAACATTGGAATCTCAATCACAATCATCAATCACAATATCTTTCTTTATTTTACATCCGTTCGTTTCAGAGCACTTACAAAAGGGCATACGATTACCAGAAACACACTATATTCACGTGGAAATACTTCGTTAATTTTTAATAAAATATTATTCAAATTCTTGCATATTACAAGCTCACATCATAATGACATCATATTTCATATAAAGTTGTTTATTTACAAGCTACAATAATTTATATTCTGAAATCAGTACATTTGATTTGGCTGTCGATACAATTACGACATCTGTTTTTTTTTTACTATCAAGGTTGACTGAATAGAGAGAGACCCTTTTCATGAGAAGTACCAATTACACGAAACACAAAACCTATACATATCATTTACACAAAAGATTAAATAGGATATATTTTCTCTCTTTGTTTCGTTAATCGGTCCTTCCAACAGTGCATGTATTTGCCTATTACGAATAATGATGGCAATGTAAACAAAAAAAAAGTAAGCAAAGTTTCTTAGAAACTACAGCAAGTGCAACTTTCTCATACAGAGAATGGTTTAAGAGGACATATATGTCCGTGAAAATAATATAAATATTATACAATTTACAAATGCTATTTACAAGTGGAACCTATGTGCAAGAAGCGTGCATTTGTTAATGAAATTATTAGTACGCTTAAGTAATTGTGATTAACATGTATATATATTTCAAGTCAAATCATTTCTTCGAAATGATAATAGTCAATATTTCTGGGTGTAATCTCAAGAATCGTGATCAGAAAAACGTCTTATTTACTTGATATTATAATAAAACATATTGCAGTAAGAATATGAACACTCATATCATTGAACATAATAATAATAATAATCTTTTAGTCCACTCTAAATTTTATTAAACCGAAATGAAAAATTCTTTTTGCCCAATTGATCGTGAGCCCGGCAGCCACTGAGCAGCGCCAGATCGACGTTGCTCTATCTAAGGTAGCAGCAACTCCTATCTTTTAACGTCTTTTGGTATGACGCGGCCGGGGATCGAACCAACGACCTAAACTAAGTTATGTACGAAAATACCGAATGATGTATTTTCTGCCTGGAGGCCCCTTTATTTTAATTACATTTTACGTATCTTTTCTAACCGTGTGACCATGCAATCATGTTAATGATCAGCAAATAAATATTAATAATAATCACAATAATAATAAAAACGGTGCTTATAAAGCGCTTTCCACCAAAGTCTTTAAGCACCGAATTCCGATTCAACTTTCAATATTGCAATTAATAACATGTATCCTACAAATCTGTCAATTCATTTTAAAGGGAGCATCTGTAGGTACTGACATATATCATTGGAATAATAGTATATCAGGTTCTTCATTCTTAGCCACAGAATAAGCGAAAAGCAAAGTGAATGAAAAAAAAAGGAATATTCTCACATGTTCACAGGTACGTTTGTGGTACAATATTTGGCAAGGTGGCATGAACCCAAATTTGTGACAACATATTTCGTGTGCCTACGCTATGTCAGACTTGGATTTGCAACCCGAAACTTCAACAGATCACATTATTTACAAGAACCTAAAACAATTCGTGTTACTCCTGACAACGCTCATGAAATTGAATGTTACAATGACCTTGACAATGACTTTGATGATGACCTTGATGATAACCTTGTAGATGATCACACCCTTGAGGATTTGACACCAGTGACATCGAAAGAGCCGCTAGAAGGGACTGAACTTAGACTCACGCATTGAGACAACTTAAGTGTTCCTGTAGTCCTTTCATAGACTAGGTAATGACCTAAAGAGAGAGAGAGAGAGATAGATAGAGAGATTGGAAAAAAATGTTGAATTCGAGGCAAATCTTCATTATGAATCTCTATTCTCTGCTTGAAAAAAAGAATCTCAAAAGAAATGGCTAGTAATCCCCCCCCCCATCCCTCCGTTATCAAGATAATAACTCCCCTAAGGTAGAATCGAACATCCCAATCAACTTTTCACAGTTGTACTCTGTTCTACTTATAAAACCATTGCTATAACTCCCTCTATCGCTAGAAGACAAGAAAATAAGGTGCGCTAAAAATTATTACAGCTCATTGTGAGGAGAGAATTTGACAAAAACTTTCTAAGATTTGAAGCTTTCTCCCTAGTAAGACTTATATTATGTGAATATCTTATTAAGAAATTCAGACGACAGTATTTCATCTTTCCAATTGGACCATGCATTGTGACAAAGTATAACTCAAATACATACATACATGTATAACAAGCAGTTGGTAAAAACATTAGCAATATCGAAAGCAAAAGTGGAAGTCAAGTGACCTTTTGTTCCTTGTTTAATCAGTGTATTAATATATTCTCATTCAGTGGCAAAAGCAGAAATAATTGATACAAATGGGTGCGGTAGTATTCTCTTAGCCTCCAAATTTTTGTTGTTGACTTTATTTTAAGCCATTTTCATCGTCTGCCTCATCCACTATACCGCTAAAGACACTTGTTTCTTTTCTTCCTTTTTTTCTTCATTATTATCATTATCATAATTGTTTTGGGGGAATAGGAGAAGGTCTTGATTTGAGACACCCTAATTGATAGTTACCTTGACGCTCCACTGACTCGAACACGAAAGTGCCATCACTTCTTGCTATCTTGTCAAGCATACATGCTAGATCGGGATTATAAGGATCCTTCAGCGGCTGAAAATAAACAATAAATGCAGAACATCATTAGTTTAACTATAAAACAATGTAAATTGAATTATATATTTTCAAACTAATCATTTTAACTACATGACTTGCAGTTTCAATTAATCAAAATGGCAAATATTGAGGCAGTTTTTTCAGTGACATGTGTTGTGTAGTATTTATGGTAAACTAACTTTCTTCCCTTGATTTGAATCCAATGACCGTGAAAATATTATCTCATATCTTTAAAGCGCTTAGAGACATTTGTATTAAACACTATATAAAAGCGGAATATTATTATCATTCTTATTATTCCCTTCCTTGGATTACGATTGATCTTAACGTTGTGAGAATGCACCTCACAAACACGACTCAAAATTTCACTTCAGTTTCTTTAGGGGGGATTTTAGCATAGATACAGAATCTCTGGAGGTTGAAAGATTATCTTGAACTATTAATTTCAAATCACGGGGATCAAGAGAGACAGAATCTTTTAATAATTTCGAAGATATAGACCGGTAGTGGTAAAATTCCAATTCGAGGGTTTTGGGTGCAAAATTTCCATTCAATATTGTTCAAACATTGCCTTCAGAGATTTAGATGGCAAAACTTCAACCTAAATTCGCAAAAAAAGCAGAAATATATGCCCAAATGTTCAATGTTGAAGTGCATTCGCGAAATCTAACCAGGCCGGATCGATATGATATTTTACCAAATAAATCAATAATAGTGGGCGGTTTCCCGGCAAAATTTGTATCATCACATATTAGTCAAAACATACTCTTTCATATGATTGGTAATAAGAGCTTCCATTTCATTTCTTGAGAGGGGGGGGGGGGCGTTTCTGGTCTATATAAAATTGTTTAGTTGTGTACCTTCATGTTGTTCTGTACTGCGTCGTATAGTGTACTGGTGTTAGCATGACGTATTGCACAGAGTTGGCCCTGTGACTGATGGCCTATGACTACATAGAAGTCCAAGTAGAAGTGAGCTGAAGAAGAAAAGCAAATATAATCTGTTTAAATTTCATGTAAATATAATTTTTCTTGATATATATGCAGCTGAACATGATGAACATATAGGCCAACAACTGACCATGAATAATTGAGCCACAAAAATAATCATCATCTTTAACACTGTAATCCTCAATATATTCATCATCATCGTCATCATCAACATTATTACCATACAAATCATCTTCATCATTATTACCATAAACATCACCATTATCATCGTCATCATCATCATCATCATCATCATTTAATAATATACCATAAATATCACCATCATCATCGTCATCATCATCATCATCACCATCATCATCATTATCATCATTGTCATCATTGTCATCATCATAACTACTATCAGCAGTTCTTCAGCACCATCATCATAAGCAGCACTCTCATCTCAATCTTATTGAGTAACCATGGTTACTGACCTCTTTGATCGATGTATTTTCCCATCGTCACTATTTCTCCTGAAGTATTGAGATAGATCTGAGGAACATCATCTTCATCTTGACAGATGAAAGACAGTGCTGATGTGCTAACTTTGTAGGGCCTTTGACTGCAAACGATCTCCGTATTCACTATTTCCACTAGAACTATAATATAAATTAAAAAAAAATAATGAATGAAAGCAAATACCAAAATCGTAGCCTAGAAAAGTAGATTTAAATTTATTTATTTGTTTATTTGATTATTCATTTATGTATTCATTTATTTGTTTAATCGTTGATTCATTCATTTGTTAAGTTTCAGTCACTAAATTACAAATATTCCAATGTTGTTTATTTCGTATAATATCCCGCTCAATACAAATCTTGGTCGTATTCTTTCGCTGTTGCTGTAGATTGCTGCTGTTTTTAGTGAGTTTTATTATTATCTTCTTATTTATTTATTAATTTATTTATTTTTGTCGTACTTACCTCCATCATCTATGGTGACCCGTATCGTTGTCTTCTCGAGATGAACCTTATCTCCTTCTCCATATTTTCTCAGAATTGTCTGGTCAAGGAAAGAGAGTGGAAGCAAAAAGTGAGTTAAATTCTTACCCTTATACAAGCATCAAACACGATCGCAAAGTCTTTCAAGAAATCCACTGAGATCAGTTCAAAACCCTACTGAATTGCCTAGAGAAATATTGTTAATATTGTGTAATACGTCATTGTAATACCCGCACATTTCAAAAGGTGATAAACAAGTCTATTGGCATTGCGTTGGGTCGATTTTTTGAAAGTATTTGCGATCCTGTTGTTAATATTAGAGATTGTATTAATCATGGTATTTTTATGACTGTCAGAAAATAGCACTGTTATTATTGTGTGTGAAAGAAAAGAACAGCTTTAAAGCCCCATTGCACTACTTATAGCTATTTGCGCACCCTATATAGCAAACAATGCCTAATCGATGACCATTGGTCCCCCATGATCCCATTTTTTCTTATTTTAATTGCATGGAAGCTGATTTGGTGAGATAACCACCTGTCAGTGATCATGCAGGGAGGTCTAATACCTCCTGACCAATCTAGTGCAGATGGGCTTTAAATGAAAATACATTTACTTGGAAATAACGTACTATATAATACAAAGTATATTACACACGATCGCAACTTTTTTCAAAAATAGACTCAAGGGCATATTTCAATACCGATTTGTATGTCCCGTGAAAACCATGAACAGATTAATAAATATGCCATTTTCATGATTGCACATTGCCTTATGTGACGCACACGGCTTTTGAAATTCCTGAGGTTGATTTCTTATAAAGTTGTTGCTATCTTGGAATGGATTATAATGTTATGTCAAAACGTGAGCAAGATATTTTAACAGTCATAAATGAGAGCGACAAATTTCAGACGTAAACGCAGTCCATGAAATCAGACAGCAATCTTTTTGGTTATTTTGTGCACTATCACAGCTACTTGCTTCTCATCCAGCAATGCATCCTATTTCATTATTCATTTCATTTTCTAAGCAAATAACGACAATATCGAATATGGAATAGATATATATATATATGATTAAGGTAACTTACCAATGTGAACGTTATCTCAATATCCATGAAGAGCTCCACAATCTCACTGATGTCTAACGTGTGTAATTCTCTGTCATTGAGATGGGTGAGTGTATCAGACTCTCTGCTCAAAATGAAGACAATGGGGAGAAAGAGAGAGAGAGAAAGAGAGAGAGAGAGATGGGGAGAGAGAGAGAAAAAGAAGATAAAGAGAGAAAGAGATAGAGAGAAAGGGAGAGAGAAAGAGAGAAAGAGAGAGAGAGAGAGAGAGGAAGAGAGAGAGAGAGAGAGAAAGAGGAAGAGAATGGAGATAAAATGGAGAGAGAGAGAGAGAGAGAGAGAGAGTAAGATAGAGAAAGAGTGAAAGAAGAACAGAAAGAGAAGAGACAGAATTGAAGAGGGGAGGCAAATAAGAACACAGAGGAAAGAGGTTAATAAATATGATAAATTTGACAAGTTAAGTGTCATGTTTATACACTACCCGTATTTTAGTATCCTCAGTCCATGTTTTTATACAGTACGTAGTACCGAAGTATGACTTCTAACTGTTAATAAACTCAAATAAAGTTTCAAATGGGAAACACAGGTTCATTTCATTCAATTTATGAAAATCGACACTATAAAACAAGTAATGCATTATAATTTTAATATGTGGTTTTCTTCATTTCTGCAAATTTCATAATGAATTGATATGATGGGCTATAGTTGCCTTCGTTTATTGTATCAATGTAAATTGAAGCATTTTAATTAGCACACCCACACAACATACAAAGAAACAAAAACATGAACAAACAGATAAACATCGTATGTGAACAGACGTACCTTAGACCAGCCTTGTACGCTGCTGTATCGACGAGTACCTCGGCAAGCTTATAGCCTTCCTCCGATTTATTGAGACGAGCACCGAACGGGCATGGAGTGTCGAATTGATGGAAACGAGCTGGTAGATGAACATTGAACCCTTCCAGGCCATAGTACTTTTCATCATGATGATGGTGCTGGAAAGCAGCAAAGAAAGAATAGATGGTCGATAGAGAGTTTCTCATGCGAAGATTTTGATAAGATGATAAATATAATAAAATTGACCACTCAAGGGAGACTTGAAAAGGGGTCTTTCTATATAGGCAGGTTGTCTTTACATAAAAAATCCTTTCAATGACAAGTAAACGACAAACACTATATTCAATGAAGCAGAATGTGGTCTTTATAGACAGGTGGTCGCTAAAGCGGGTTACACTGTAGTTAATCATGTGTCGTTATCCTGTAATTCAAAGCTCAATGAAATTCATTCGTATTGTACGATGTAATAACTCATTGCATATCTAGTTTGATGATAGATAGGTGAGATTCGAGGGTTTGGATCTATCATACAAACTATTTTCCGACTTAAAAAGTTGAATGATTGAAATATCTTATAAATCAAGAACTCATTGAGAAAATGTTAGATGATTTCATTAGTTGGCCTGCACATGGCATAATATATCATTACTATTAAAATAAAACAAAGTGTATACACTTACCTGATGTGGCATCACACGATCAACTACTTGAGTAATTTTATGGCCTATTTTGCCCAATAATTTCCCGAGGCCATCGGGTTCGTCACACCCCTCCTCCTCGACGCCCTCCTCGGCTTCCGTCGTCTGAGTGTTTTCAGGAATGATCGGGACATCGACCACCTGTACGTGGCTGAATGACACGTCTGTATTCCCCAAGTCTTCGCTCAGGCAATGGTCTTCTTGCTCTGGTTCGGAGGAACGTTCGCGTTCGATATCGGGCTTGGATTCCTTGGTCGAGGAGTTCTTCTCGAAAACTCTACTATCAAGAAAGAAGGAATTGTCCGAATCTATGGTTTGTGCCCGCTCGAATTTTGGGGATAGGGAGGGCACTTGATCTGGCATAACTCTAGGGGATGCATTTCCCAGATGCAGAGAGTTTTCTAGCTCATTTGCCATCAGTGTTCGCTCTGAAAACTGCCGCTTGATCACAGCCTTCTCCTCGAAATTCATAGAAGACCGTTTTTTCTGCTTGTTTGGTACAGCCATCTTGAAACTGCTGTTTAATTCTCTTAAATAAAAACTTGTTATAGTCGTAGATTGAAACTTGAAAGTTCTTCTGTTCTGTAGTTGATCGGTATCTTTGTAGTGAATGAGCACTAAGCGTTTCGACTGCTTGTATTTATCCTTTTCATCCGTCACACACATCAATGCGCACTGCACTCAATGGTATGTAATAACCAGAAGGGAAATCCCGGAAAAATACAAAGGAGCGGAAGGGAAAGAAGGCGTGGAAAAGATGACGTAGGCACAAACGGTGACTGGCCTGGAGTGACGTGTGCAAAAAAAAAATCAACGTGGGGCCAATCGGTGTCAAGCACAATAATAGTTATATCTTGTGACCTGTACTTCAACGCGTTCAATCAGGTAACTCGATAGAGGTTGGGTGTGAAGGCCGTCAGGAAGAACCACGTGATTAGGTCCAAAGTGTCCTAAGACTTTGTTTCCTATTTCCCCTCTATTAACACAGCCTAATTATCCCATTTTGGGTATCGGTCGGTCTGAACCACTACTTTGCATGTAACTATGTATGCCACTTGTTTTGTTTGTTTTTGTAATGTTTTTCTTATACTTCCCATCAACAATATTTGCATACTTGATGCTACTACTACTAGTAGTAGTACCTACTAGTAGTAGTACCGGGGCGTTGTGGCGTGCGTCTGTAACCCAGCTAACAGTGGAAGTTACAAACTGATTTAGGACGCGGGTCCGAATCTGAGTCACGTCTTTCGGATGGTGACGTTAAAGGTCGGTCCCCAGACGTAAATAATCATAACTGATTGATACACATCTGTAAAAAAAAAAAAAAAAACATACACATACAGACACACACCACTACTACTATTACTACTTCTAGTTGTAATTGTGAAGACAAACATATCAATTCCATGTAGGCCTTATTATCCTATAATGGTATGTTACTCAGTTAATTCATTATATGAGTTCATTAAAAAAATGTTAGGTGATTATATTCATGACACCAATTAGATCGTTGTAAACGCATAAGAGTAAAAATCACTCTAAAAATAGTTCATTCGAGGAAATATTCCATCTTCATTCATGGCCAGTAAAGCATAAACGTGAGCGTTTTGTTTCTCTAATCCTGACGTCAATGAAAATGAAGAATGCCCGTCTGAATCATGCTGCCTCGTATCCTCATAACATCTCCTGGCAGATCTAAGAGGGGGGGGGGGGGGGGTCGGCGGTTTAACCCCCGCCCCGCCCCCACCCCTTGGGCGGCCAAGTGAGAACAAAAAAGGGGAAAAAAGAAGAAGAAGAAAAGAAAAAAAGTAAAACAGTAAAACGGCGCGATTTTTGGAAAATCCTGGATCCGCCACTAGGTCACCCCCCCCCCCCTTAGCGAAAAGATAGATCCGCCCCTGCCCACATCAATGATATAAAGGGTAAACCGTAAAAATATGTCATTTTATTTCCCGTGCTGCTCTAAAAAATTGCAGCATCCCCCTGACTGACAGAAATGTGTTATATTCAAATAAACACTGTCATAAGGACTATACAAAATAAAAGATGATGTTTTGGCATTTAGGTGCCACAACATGAGTCGGTCGGTCGGAATTTTTTTTTAAATGTATCGTACAAAATATGATACATTATTTGAACCAAATCTCAGAAGGATTATACAAATTGAGGTTTTAAGGACGTTATAAAAACCAAAGGGTGTCAGAGAGGGCATAGGGGCAATAATCCCGGGAAGATATCTGAAAGTTAGTCCTCCTAGAATCATTCCATCATAGGCCTATATCAAGAATGGATTTCTGCACAAGCAGGTATAGGTAAAAAGGTTGAACTTATTTCCCCCGAAAATGTGCACGTGTAGATATTTGGGGGTGTGGACGAGCACTGTCGAGCAGGGTATTCCCTAGACCGAAAGCTTCAGTCTCTATAATCGTCGGTTGTTCCACTGAGACTACGTCTGGCTCCACTAGACCTCCGGTTATAGAGACAGAACGATCGCCTATGCCAGCCTATGTTGAACTTATTCCGCTAGATTTTAGCCGCTAGGCCCCTCCCACAAACTTGCCACGGCCGTATTGTTATGCCCCCAAAATCCCCCAAAATGTCATTTTACCTCGTTCATTTCCAATTTTAAATTAGGCCTAGGCTATAAAACATCGGTTCCACTTACTAACTTCATTGATATAATCCGTTTAATGGTCCCTTTTAAGGAAATTATCGGTCAAAATCGACATCCATGTTGAAAATCTTGCAAGCCGTGTTAAACTCTCGCTGCCGTCAATCTCATCCTTTCTAGTCTACGCCGAAGGCAAAATGATTATGAAGGAAAAACTGTGATAACGCCATTACGAACGTGTAGATGGCGCACAGTTTTTCCTTCATAATCATTTTGCCTTCGGCGTAGACTAGAAGGGATGAGATTGACGGCAGCGAGAGTTTAACACGGCTTGCAAGATTTTCAACATGGATGTCGATTTTGACCGATAATTTCCTTAAAAGGGACCATTAAACGGATTATATCAATGAAGTTAGTAAGTGGAACCGATGTATTATAGCCTAGGCCTAATTTAAAATTGGAAATGAACGAGGTAAAATGACATTTTGGGGGATTTTGGGGGCATAACAATACGGCCGTGGCAAGTTTGTGGGAGGGGCCTAGCGGCTAAAATCTAGCGGAATAAGTTCAACACAGGCTGGCATAGGCAGTCGTTCAGTCTCTATAACCGGAGGTCTAGTGGAGCCAGACGTAGTCTCAGTGGAACAACCGACGATTATAGAGACTGAAGCTTTCGGTCTAGGTATTCCCCTACTTCACTGGGTTGCGTGGGCCGGGCCGTGTGACGTCAACAAAGTTCGATTAGATAACGGTCAGAAGTATAATCACTATTATTTTTCTGACATAACTTTAGTGTAGAATAGAATTGGAGTCAAATTAAAGAAGGACAGTGGGTTTTTTAAAGGGGTTTTCAGGGAATACATAGATGTCCTGTCACTCCTATGGGAACTCAGTGTTATAGTGCTCTGGTTCATAAGGAACCAGAGCACTATAACACTGAGTTCCCATAGGACATATCTTTATTCAGATGGTCATATCTCAGCCAATGCCTAACATATTCAATTGGTTTCCATTCGGACATTATTTTTGATGCTCTTTTGGGAAATGAAGAAAAAATTGAGAAATTCAAAACATGGATGTTTATGATGTCACAGCTTCGGTACTCTCTACATTTAGTTTTGATGTCGGTTCGAGTTAAGAACAATGCAGGGATTATGATATACATGTATACAGATCCAAAGATATGCAAGTAATAAATTAATAATAATAATAATAATAATAAATTACATTTATATAGCGCTTAATACAAAGTTTCTAAGCGCTTAACAAAAAATTAATGTGTTCACATTCAAATAAACAGGGTCAGTTTTTCTTGTCATTATTTATTGATGTTAGTGGTAACAAAAGTTTACACGCTGTCAAATTTAGATGAATAGAGTAAGCAAACAAAAGCGTTTGAGCCTTTATCAAAATACATTACAAAAAGAGAGAGAAAATTACATGTTATCTTCGATATTAAACTGCATACAAATGTGACCCAATATTGAATTCTTCAATCACTTTTTTAGCAGATTTAATCATTCTAAATATACAAATTATAGAAAATGATTAGAATTAGGATAACATGCAGTTTAGCATTCGTGAAATTGTTTAGAGAGAGAGAGAGAGAGAGAGATAGAGAGGGTGGGACGGGACTCTTAAACAGACTTAATAACTCGTTCAATATTATGCCATTATCCTAATTCTATATTATTTTGATCCAGAATATGTCATAAGACATAATTCGGGAAGGAAAACGGAAAAGATTGAATGAAATGAACTGTAAGTAATGAATGAATGAATTTGTTGATAAATTGAGTGATTTGATTTGATTTGATTTATTGGTTTATGCATCTTTTTGTCTATCTTTTTCATCATACATGAAAGGTCAGTTATCAATTTCTTTTCTAAAATTTGTAAAAACAGTGAGTATATATTAATTTCTTTGTAGATTTAGAGGGAGGAAATATCCTACTCCCCTTTTAGTTATTTCGATACGACATGACACTGAAACAATTATCTTTATAAGTATTCATAAACGATTGCCCCTCTCTTGCAAACACAAACAGCTTGCTGAAAGATAAAAATGTACAAAGGTCCTACATGTATATAAATATAAAATGTGTTGAGATAAGGTTATATCCATGGTGATCTCTGACGTTGTATATATTAGCTCGGAACCAAAACAAGGCTTGTCTGTACATATCGATTAGATTGCAGACGTATTGATTTGGATGGACAAATAGACCCAGAGATAAAGAAGATGGAACTAGGCCTGGGTTGATGGCCCAGTGCGAAATAAAAGGATCTCTCTCTCTCTCTCTCTCTCTCTCTCTCTCTATATATATATATATCTCTCTCTCTCTACCTCCCTCCCTCTTTATCCACCCCCTCTATCTCTCTCTCTCTCTCTCTCTCTCCCCCTCTCTTTCTCTCTCTCTCTCTCCCTCTCTTCTACTTCTTTTTTAGTTTTTTTCTCGTTCTTTGTCTTTCTGTTTTTCCTTGTGTATCTTTCTTTTCAACTTTTTTTTTCACTGTACGTACGTCTTTTTTGTCTATATATATGTCTGTCTGTCTGTCTGTCTCTCTATCTCTCTCCTTCTCTGCTTCCCCCTCTCCCTTCATCTCTCTCTCTCTCTCTTCCTCTCGCTCTCTCTCTCTCTCTCCCTCTCTCTTCCTTTCTCCCTCTGTCCCCTTCTCTTTTTCTTTTTATAAATATTATTGTTATTGTTGTGTTTATTCTTGTTTTTGTTATCATCATTATTTCATTATTTATTATTATTTATTATTATTATTATAAGAATCATGATAATTATTAGATGTATCATTAGTATTATAATAATCATGATAATGATAACTATTAGATGTATCATTAGTGTTATAATAATCATGATAATGATGAATATTAGATATATCATTAGTATTATCATTATCATACACTACTAGGAGTAGTAGTAGTAGCAGTAGTAGTAAAAGTAGTAGTAGTAGTAGTAGTAGTAGTAGTAGTAGTAGTAGTAGTAGTAATAGTGGT